GGCTGACTCTGAACTCCTGACCCTCCTATTTCTGCCTCCCTAGTTCTAGGCTTACAAGTGTGAGCCTGTAATTAGTAGAGGCTAACTTCCAAGCAGGCTGTGGCTCACCCTCAGTTAAATAACTGCTCCACAGCTCTCTCTAATTCAACCAGATAATCATAGATACAGAAAGGAAATTTTTAGATTTGGATGGTTACAGATAAATCACCCCTATGATAGGACAGCTTAGTCATGGCTACCTTTTTGGAAGGAACGAAGAAATTGGTCACTTGAACAGTATGGAAAGTTCACCTTACAATTAGGGTGGGTCCCTGCTGCTGACTGTAACACAACCAAACTAAACTAAACTAAACCAAACTAAAGGACATTGATCGATCTCTTATTGACTGGATATTGAGGCCTGGAATTAGATGGGCTTCTTCTAGTGGCACCAACCAGTTTTGTGGTTGCAGCCTCTGCCCATGGATGGGTACCTCCAGAATGGATTGGGCAATGTACATTAGGACACCCTTGGACATGAGGACATTGGATAAAAATGATAAATCCTGCAAATCTTCCCACTTTACAACATAGACAAAGATCTGATTTTCACTGGTATGATCATATAACTTCCGAATTCATTCCTCAAATAGGATTAGTAGCTATTTTATAGCATACAGAACCACTAAATACTAGAAGCCCTTAATGATCCAGTCCAAGGGCTCTCACTCTTAAACTCAAAAGTGAAGATGATAATGATAGTCATCCTACAAAACTGATGACACTTAATGATTTTGACAGCCGCACAGGGGGAACCTGTGCCATCTTTAACCTGGAAAGCTGTATATACTACACCTTACAACTTGGCCAATGTGACCTCAGTTCTTCATGACTTACTTACCCAAATTAAAACTCTGACAAACTCAGTCTCAACGTTTGGTTAGTTAGCATTGTGGCTCTCAGGTGTCACAAGGTGAAAAAAGTTCCTTCTACCTTAGTGTTGACTTTAAGATGAAGCATAACAGTCTGCTCTATTCTTTATTGTCTTTGTGGTCTGGTGTCTCAGATAACAGCACAGTTTTTCCAGATTCCCATAGAATGAGCCTCCAATCTTTAAGCTCTGGCCTTCTCATGTCTCCCTTAGTTAGACTATGCAGGCTAAGGCTTTGTAGCCCTGAAGTTGGGGAGATACCTCAAGTGGTAAAGTGCTTCTTATACAGACATGAAGAATGGAATTTGATTCTCAGAATCTTATTTTAAAAAATGAAATCATGGGGGTGTATACTTGTAAATCTAGAGTTGGGGAGGTAGAGATAGGTGGATCCCTGGACTCACTGGATAGCCAGAGTAGCCAAATTGACAAGTTCCAGTTTCAGTGAGTGACCCTTTCTCATAAATACACACATCAAAAAAAGATGCATACACATATACATAAATAAATAAATAAATACATACATAAATAAATGGAATAAGGTAGTTAGCTTCCTGAGGAACAACACCCAATGTTGACCTCCGGTCTCCACATCCATGCCAGCACACATGCATGCTCATTATATGCACATGTAAGTACACACAGACTTTCTTTTTTCATGGTAAACACTGGCTGTTTTGTTGCAATATTACAGCATTGTCCCACATGCTTGAATTAGGGTCACTTTTTCAGACTAATTGGCCTTCATGCACCTTTTCTTTTTTTTGTTCAATTATATTTATTTCATTTATTTGTGTGGGGGGGGGGCATGGGCATGACATGGCATGTGGAGGGCAGAGGACAACTTATAGAGGTCTATTCTCTCCTTGTAACATGTGGGTCCCAAAAAACAAACTCAGATTGTCAGGCTTAGCAGCAAGTACCTTTATCCAGCGAGCGATCTTGCTGTCTCTCGTGCACTTTTTTATTACTATAGTGGTAACCCTAAGGATTAAACTCAGGGTCTTGTGGATGCTAAATACATACTCTACCACTGAGCTCAGCATCCCCACCTGTGAAGCTCCTTTTTTACCAAATTTCATTTCTTCTGATTAAAGATTTGTGGGGGGCAGGGGCTGAAGAGATGGCTCAGCAGTTAAGAGCACATGGCAGCTAACAATAGTCTGTAACTCCAATACCAGAGGATCTAATGCCCTCTTTTGACCTCTGCGGGCATTGCACAACTGCACTTACATATATGCAGGCAATACACTCGTACACATATAATTTTTTAATTTTATGTGTATGGGTGTATTGTCTGCATGTATGAAAGTGCACCTGTGTTGTGCAATGCCGCAGAGGTCAGAAGAGGCTGTCAGATCCCTGGAACTGGAGCTACGGACAGTTGTTAGCTGCCATGTGGGTGCTGGGATTCGAACCCAGGTCTTCTGAAAGAACAGCCAGTGTTCTTAACCACTGAGCCATCTCTCCAGGCCCCACATAAATATTTTTTAAAAACAATTTGTGTGTATGTCTGTGTGTGTGTGATGTACACATGTGCAGTGCCTACAGAGGCCAGAAGAGGGTGTTGGATCCCCTGAAGCTGGAGTTGCAGGTGGTTGTAAGCTGTTCAGCATGATAGATTGAAGGAACCATATTCAGGTCTTCTAGAAGAGCTGGCAGCACTCTTGACCACTTTTATTTGAATCTTTGTATATGGTGGATATGTGAGCCTGTTCACATATGAGCACATGCATGTGGTGGACAAGGGCAACTTCAGTTGTTGGTGCTTACCTACCTTGTTTTATACAAGTTTCTTGTTGTTTACAACTGTGTACACCAGACAAGCTGGCTCTTGAGCTTCTGAGTATTTTCCTAGCTCTGCCTCCAATCTTGCTATAGGATTCCTGGGATTACAGATGCTCTCTACTGTGTCTGGGTAAGCACACACAGACATCCAATCCCTAGATAGATAGGGTCTATGTCTCTGTACAGTGTATAGGAGTTTTAGCCATTTGTCAACTCATAAGATAAAGGGATCAAAGTCTCAGAGGAAGAAATTTAGGGAGGATAGCTAGTTAGAAAATGAAGGTGACATGAGGCAGGAAAGGGCCTCCTCACTCCCCCAGTCCTGATGTCTGTCTCTACCTGGCTGAACCCCAGGAATTTCTACATAACTAAAAAGGCCACCTGCAAAAGAACTGTCCTCCTTTTCTGATAAGCGTCACAAATAAGATTGCTAATGTTCAACCTTCTTGCAACCTGTGTACAAATAAGGGTTCTTGTGATCAGCATTTGCATCTGTACTAACTCTACCTTCTCTACCTGCAAGCCCACACTATGTACTTTTAATTTTTTTAATGTTTTATCTATTATTTTTATTTTATGTGTATGCATGTATTGCCTGCATGTAGGTAAGCACACCTGTGTCATGCAATGCCGGCAGAGGACAGAAGAGGCTGTCTGATCCCCTGGAACTAAAGTTACAGACAGCTGTTAGCTGCCATGTGGGTGCTGGGATTAAAACCTGGGTCTTCTGCAAGAACAGTCAGTGTTCTTAACCACTGAGCTATCTCTCCAGCCCCCCACATGTACTTTTAAAAAGTCGTCTTGAAGAGCAGAATTCTGTGGATAACACAAAGAAATATACCCATACATTCTTTCCCTAATATCTGAACTGAGTTGCATGTAAGGTAGTTTCAGATCCCCAAGGTCACATGTACATTTTTTCTGCTTCATCAATAAACTCACTGACTTTCTTCACTGACTCACTCTGAAATTCTTTTCTGTGAAGGGCATTAAGGGCCTGTCCATGCCTTAATAGAAGCCTCTGAGGCTTTAAGCGGGATTTCTCAGGCCTCTCTGCCTGCAATTTTGAATTGAATTTCTTGCTGAATTTAATTTCAAGTCTAGTTGTGTAACATCAGACTTGAAGAGCAGGTGACCAAAGTTGGGGCCAGATCAAGGATTCTGCCTTGTCTTTATTATGTTTTTTTTATTGTTCTTTTGAGACAGGGTTTCCCTAGAACCCCAGCTAGTCTGGAACCGGCTATGTAAACTAGATTGGCCTCGATCTCACAGAGATCCACCTGCCTCTGCCTCCTGAGTGCTGGGATTAAATGCACCACCACTCCCAGATTCTGTCTTTAAATACAGAGAACTACCAGCTCTCTCCCAGCATGCATTACCTGATAAACAGAATGTAGTAGAACTTCATGGAGCTCTAAGTTTAAAAAGCTTTTTCAAGTGTCTAGCCTGGCTGGTCACTATCTGTGTCGTCTAAGTCAGTATATTCCCAAGGTCTTTCCCACTCTAAAGCACAAAGCTCTGTGACTTCAAGGCTGTGCTAGCAAGGGGCCTTGAGTTATGTATACATCATGGGGTCAGTAGCCAGGAATGTGCTTTTTGTTTTAACATTTCTCCTCATAACCATTGCACTGGATGGGGAGTAGGGACGGCAATGTCAGCAGACTAGTGAGTCTAGTGACCAAGTACAAGCCTTGATCTTCCTGTCTGTGAAGCAGGGAGAGTCACTGGAAAACCTGAAAAATGTCTAGAGCTGGGCAGGGTAGATGGCTCAGCGGGTCAGCAGATAAAAGCGCTTGTCATGCAAGCCTAAAGGCCTGAGTTCAATTTCTGGAGCCCATCATGGAAGGAGAGAACAGACTCCTAAGAAAGTTATCCTGGACCTCAACATGCATGTGTGCACTCCTACACAGCTTTCTCTCTCTCTCTCACTCTCTCTCCCTTTCTAACCATCCCTTTTCCCTTCTCTCTCTCTCTCTCTCTCTCTCTCTCTCTCTGTCTCTGTCTCTCTTTCTCCCCCCAACACCCCCACCCCCACCCCCACTCGTGTACATATACTCTAAAAGAAAGAATGTGTAAGTTAAAAAAAATGTTCAGGGTTGACCAATAATGCCTGGGTCTTGTTAAACTCTGTTATTTCCTATAAACCTTAGGAGCACGAAGGAAAGATAAACCTCAGTCTCATCTCTTTGAGACTTAGGACCGCCCAGCACTCGGTGCCAATCATCCGGCAGGCCCCGCCCCACGCAGGCCCGTTTCCCTCGCCGGCGCGTGCTGACGGCGAGAGCGTGCGCGCTCTGGCGAGGGCTGTGACGCGACGCCGGCGCCGGGAGCGCGCGCCACGAGGCGCTCCGGGAAAGGAGTGGAGAGTCCAGGAACCCGGTGGCCGGGATGCTGCGTGCTCGCGGCCGCCGGGTCCCGGGAGCCGCCGCCGGCCAAGCAGGTGAGGCCGGCGTCCCCGCGGGCGAGGGCGGCGGGGCCAAGGGGGGCCGCGGGCCCGCTCCAGTCCCTGAGCCCGAGCCCGTGCCTTCCCAGCGGCCACATACGGGCGCCCCGCAGCAGCCCGTGACCCCGGTGACAGGTGCTCGTCCCGGGCGACCAAGCTGGAGCTCTAGAGCGCCCTAAGCCCTCTGCGCGTGTGGCCCTGGGAGAAAGGGATGTCGCCCCAGGACCCTCCGGCTTCTGCCTGCCAGTCCACATGGTGACATTGGCGCGTAGAGCATCATGTCTTGCTTTGCCCTGCTTTTAGGAAGCATCGTGATAGATTTCTCCTTGGAAAAGATAGAGCTAATCAGGCCATTAAAGTAACGGTACACAGTGATATTTATCAACGTGACTTATGCATAGACCCCTTTGTCGCGTTCTTTAGGCTATGCCCCCGAACCCGCAGGGCACCCCAGCCAGGTGAGCCCTAGTCACTCGAAAACAAGAGGGATGCTTTAGAATTCAGGACCTGCGTGCTACATGGAAAAGTAGAGGTCACCGAATAAAGTCAGACACTCAGTTCCAGCTGTTATGTTGCAGTGTTTATTAAGAAGCCTAAATTCATATTCTTTGTATTATGTTTGATATATCGTGTCTTTTCTATGAAATTTGTTAATCCTTGTTGGCACGTTTGCAAAATTATGCTCATTTGCATGAGGTTTTTTTTCTGCTTAATATTGATTTACCACCTGCTTTTAATTTTTAAATTTCATTTATTATTTTTGTATATGCATGCAAATGGATGATGTGTGTTCTAGAAGGAACACGCACATGCCATGTTGGTTTATTGAGTCAGTTCTCTTCTATTATGGGTTCTGGGAATTGGATTCAGGCAGTCAGGCTTGCACAGGAAGTGCCTTTAACCCTCCAAGTCATCTCGCTGCTTCCTCGCACCTGTTTTTGTTGCTTATTGAATCCTTGGGCCCTTGTCAACCCTTGTCAGGAAATGTAGGATCTCAGATAAGAGATGAAAATGAAAGTTGACCTAAGGATTTATTTTCTTTATGTATTATTCATCATGTTTATTTAAAATAGTCTACACAGGGCTGGAGAGATGGCTCAGTAGTTAAGAGCACTGACTGCTCTTACAGAGAACCCAGGTTTAGTTCCCAGCACTCACATGGTAGCTAACAACTGTCCATAACTCCAGTTCCGGGGGATCCAGTGCCTGACCTCGTCAGACATTGTACACTCGTGTATACATACATACATGCAAGCAACATACTCATACACATAAAATAGGCTACACAGGAATTATGGGAAGATTCAGAGTGTGAAAGGAAGTATAACAAGTTAAATCTTAATTAAAAAAAAAAAATCTGCCCATGGCCTTGAAAGAAGTGTAATATTGCAACAGGATATTAGCCGGAAGTAGCACTATTAAAAGCCAGAGGCCAGCGTAAGATGAGCTTGCACGGAAGAGGCCCACCTTACCAGAGCAAGGGGAGAACAGGTTGTCAAGAGAGCGTGGGAACAGTTGATAGATTGAGGGTTTCAGGTGCTACACAAAGAAACACTTGGTATTGATCTGCAGGCGCTCAGATTTTTGTTTGGTCATATTTTGAAGGCAGTGCTTTTTTACATAGTGTTTACAGTGAAGACAATAGTGGCTCAGCACAAGATCTGTCTTGAAGTCTGATGTCTGCTTGGAGTGCTTGATGAATTGACAGGGCCATGGGGCTGGGGAGATGGCTCAGTTGGTAAGGTGTTTGCTGTGAAAGCATGAGATCCTAAGTTGGGATCAGCACTGGGGGTTAATGGGAAGTGGGTGGATTCTTGGAGCTCACTGGCCTGCCAGACTAGCCAGTTGGAGAGCACCAGGTTCAGTGAGAGAACCTGTCTCAAAACAGAAGGTGGAAAAGAATTGAAAAAGACAACTGAGGTTGACCTCTGGCCTTAATAAATGCGTGCACCCATGTGCACCTGCACACAGACACAGACAGACAGACACACACACACGGACAGACAGGAATGAATTGATAGGACTTAATGATGGATTGTTGAAACAGAAGTGAAAATCAAAGCTGGGGACCAGGTAACGGTGCTGGTGGTAGGTGAGACCCCCTCTTACACCTGGAGAATTTGGAAGTTGATACTGTTTGTCAGGACTGTGACCCCAGACTTGGCTGCCTGAGCTTAAGGCAACAGGGCTTAATAAGCTCAAGATAAAGAATTGGAACTTGAGTAAAGTCATTTTGGGGGAGCCTGCAGATCTGATGAAAGTGTGATCAGAAAATGGCCATTCAAAATGGGAATCAGAATTTTACCAACGATTACTAGGGCTAGGAAGAGATTTACCAGGACTTATGAAAAAGTCTTCCATCTTGGAATTGTTTTGATGTTGTCATTCACCAGTGTCTGAGTCACAGCTCCCTGTGGCAGCCTTCCCTTCAAGGCTCTCCAAGTGTCTGCAAATGTGCAGCACCCTCTAATCCTTTCATATTTAAATGACTCTTTTTAGAAGCACTCATCTTGTCACCTTAAGTTTTCTAACTCTGAAGGTAGATTCTCTAGTCTAACCAGCATTTTTTATTGTCCTCAGAGGGTGTGGAGATTGGATTGAAAAGTGCCTCAGAGATGAACAGTTCACTACTTCTGACTGTGTCTGTAGGGCATATCCACAGAGGACTAATTAAGGAGATTAGCCCACCCCAAAAGTGGGGTACCATCCCACAGGCTAGGTGCCTGAATGGGATAAAAAGGGGGAAAGCAGTCTCTTTGTCTCTGCTTCCTCTTTCTGCTTCCTGGCTGCCATGAAGCACCCTCTGAAATCATGAACCAGAATGAACACTTCCTCCCTAAAACAGTTTCTTTCAGGTGCTTGTTATGGGGATGAAAAGTCCTACCCAAGTTCCTGCATCTGTATTTTTCAAGAAGCTCTGAGGTTGATTTGCATTGTCTTTATGGTGGATTTTAAGACTGTCTCACTGAGATACAGACCCATGACCAGATAGGCTTTATGCACTTAAAGGATGTTCAGCTAAGGACAAACCCAGTAGCCGATCATAATTGTTCTTGCATCTCTCTGATAATAGGTCTGATGCAATTTAGAACTTGTTTAAAATGCGGCAGCTGTATTAGCACAGTGTTACCCAGCATTTGCCTGCCAAAGATCTAGTGCCAAGATTCTGAGGTGCAAAAGCAATTGGAGTTTACATTTTAAGATCAAATTACCATACTGTTGACTTCCAGGTAATAAGCCCTGCGTTTGTTCTGAATCAAAGTAATTACGTAATTTATGAACTGTCCTTTCTGTCTTTAAACACGTTTTTTTAAACCTACAATCTCTATCCTTTATGTCAGAGTCCTCGCATATCAAAAAGAAAGTTCTGGGGCTGGAGAGAAGGCTCAATGGCTAAGAACAATAGCTGCTCTCGCAGGAGACTGGAGCTTGGTTCCCAGTACCCACGTCAGGTGGCTCACAGTTGCCTCTACCTTCAGCTCTAAAGGATCTCACATACTCTTCTGGCCTCTTGGGCACCTGCACATATATGGCATACATATACACAGATAAACACATACACACATAAAATAAATCTTACTATAAAAGAAAGTCCAGCCAGGCGTGGTGGCGCACGCCTTTAATCCCAGCACTCCGGAGGCAGAAGCAGACAGATCTCTGTGAGTTCAAGGCCAGCCTGGTCTACATAGTGAGTTCCAGGACAGCTGGGGGCCACATGGAGACCCTGTCTCAAAAAGAAAAAAAAAAGAACTAAGGCAAACACCAGATGCCATAAAGCTTACGAAGTGTGCTGTGAATGTTGGTACTTTATGAAAATATATTAAACTCAGCTCATCAGGCTTGGCAGCAAGGACCTTTACCCACTGAGCCATCTCACTAGCCCATAGTGTTCTATGAACTGTTTTTTTTTCTTTTTTGAAACAGTCTCACTGTGTAATCCTGGCTACTGGGACTTGTAGTGTAGACCAGGCTAGTCTCAAACTCACAGAGATCTGCCTGCCTCTACCTCCTGAGTCCTGGGATTCAAGGCATGTGCTATCATACCCAGCATCTTTTATATGAACTTTTAAGTCCCAAATATTGTTTTCCTGAATATGGGGTGCATAGCACATTATGGGCACCATATTAAAATCTGGACTAAAATGATTTTCTCCTTTGTTAGCTATGCATTATTAATACAGTCTGTTCTTATGGGGGTTGTGTCTGTGTGTTCTCCTGTACTGGGCTATAAATTCTTTTTTAGAAATTGTTTTTATTTTGTATGAATGAGTCTTTTGTCTGCATGTATATAAGTGCACCACGTATGAGCAATTCCCACAGAGGCCAGAAGAAGGCATCAGATACCCTGGAGCTGGAGTTATAGGCAGTCGTTAACTGCCATGTGGGTGCTGGGAACCAAACCCTGGTCCCTACAAGAGCAGCCAGTGCTCTTAACTGCTGAGCCTCTCCAGCCCCTGGGTTATAAATTCTTAAGGGCTGGGTTTCTCTGATTCATCTTTATAGCTTCTATTTCTAGCCATTGTGAAACAAGCTAGCTGTTGATCTCTTGTGTGGCAGGCACTGGCCCCTGGGGTCCCTACCTTGTGTGGGGCCTGTGCAAGGAGGAAGTCAGCCACAGGTGTAGTGCCAGAGCCCCACTGTGTTGAGCAAGCCTGCTGGGATTTAAGGATTAGAGGGCCTCTTACTGTGCTCCCTTTGTGCCGAGGGGTTCAGGAATGCCATCTGAGAGCCCAGAGAAAGACAATCTTCCAATGCCAAGGAATACAAGCATTTTGCAGATCTGCAGCTTGCATTGTATGTCAGGAGCTTGGTATCCATGTAAACATCTGTTGGGGTGAGACTGGGAGGACAGGCAGGACTTGAGGGATATTCTCTACTTACATTGGCTAATGCAGGGGCCCCATATCCCTGTTGAGTCCTGAAATGAGGCTAGTGAAATGAAGAACTCAAGCATCTTATATTTAAATGTTTAATATTTATATTACCGTTATCATTACCTAGGGCCCCCCTCATACTAGGCAAACACTACACTATACTATATCTTCAGCCTACTTTTTAAAATTTTGAAACAAGGGCTCTCTAACTTCTCTAGGCTCCCCTTGAATTCTTACTCTATGCCCAGGTAGGCCTTGAACTTGCAATCCTCCTGCTTCAGTCTCCTGAGTAGCTGGAATTACAGGCCTGTGCTACCACCTCTAGCTAAAATGTTTTATTTTAGTTCCTTTAAAAAAATGATTTTATTATTTTTATTTTATGTGTATGCATGTATTACCTGCATGTGGGTAAGTGAACCCATGTTGTACAATGCTTGCAGATAACAGAAGAGACTGTCAGATCCCCTGGAACTGGAGTTACAGACAGTTGTTAGCTGCCATGTGGGGGCTGGGATTTGAACCTGGATCTTCTGCAAGAACAGTCAGTGTTCTTAACCACTGAGCCATCTCTCCAGCCCCTATTTTAGTTCCTTTAAGAAGCTGCACATGGCTGCTCAGTGAGCCACCCGAGTCATGAGGGTCCTCTTCCACACCTGAGGACTTACAACCTTTTCTCTCAAAAAAAGAGCAGGTTGCTCTCTGTTTTAAAAAGATTGGTCTATTGTAGAAGTTCTTAACTTTTTGACCCAGGACTCTAGGCCTTGGCGCCTTGCCCGGTCCTTTCCTAGAGTCTGGTAGTGGGAAAGCAGCAGTCAACCAAGCCAATCTGCGTCTGGCCCCTGCAGTACACGTTCTGAAATGAAGACCCCCACATGCAGAGCTTGTCAGAGGACAGGAGTGACAGGACCAGCACACACTTAAATCCAGCCCCACTTTTCATTGGCTGCGTGACCTTAGACAAGTTACTCAATCTCTGCCTTGCCTGTAAAATAACATAACACAATAGCAGCCCCTACCTGTTAGCAGGATGAAATAAATAAGGCATTTGGGGCAGGGCCTGACTTTGGTGGGCATTTAATAAAGAAGTAAATGCTCAGGAGAAGTACATCAAGGAAGGGAGCTGGATGGAAGGTACTTTGTGCACTTCCTGATCCCTGAGGAGATGAAGACCTGAGGGAGGTAAAGAGGTGAGCCCTATGGATTGCTCCCAAGCAGAGGGAGCAGCAAGAATACAGACCAGAGAGTGCCTGACATTCTAGAAGCCTGAAGGGCCGCCAGTGCAGCTGGAATGCTGTGAATAGAGGAGAGCAGACAATGAGGTCAGAGCAGAGCAGGTGGCCAGAGCCTACAGGATCGGAGGGCACAGGGGAGCCTTGGGCATAGCATGAAGAGCTTGCAGCCACTGGAGGATTTTGAGTCCTTGCATAATGTGATCTGCGTTTTCATCGAGGAGGGGTGTTAGCCTCAGAGGAAGAATTCTCTGCCTGTGGTTTGGGGAAGCCTTAGGTGGGACTGCAGGGAGAGCAGATAAGAGGTAATAAAGGAAAGGGACAGGTTTTAGATACCCAGGAGTTAAATGGAAAGATTCTGAGAAGTTAGATAGGGAAGATGGCGAGGAAACTGGGAATGTGAGCAGCTCGGTGGAATGAGATCAGGACTGGAGGAGCGGAATGGTTGGGATTAGAGGGTGGGGGTAGAGTTTTTAAAGTGTGTTTCATGGTATATGCAGCATTCAGATGGAAATACAGGGGATTGTAGGTAGGTGTCTCCATAGCTGAGCAGTGATGCAGAAACAAGTTATCTGATAAATGCTACGGTCACAAAACTGAGCAGGAATGGTTAAGTTAGGAGAGAATGGAGTCTAGGCAGAGCCTTGGGGAACTGAAGAGCAAACAGCTTAGGTATGGAGTCAAGGATCCCAAGCAGGGTTCCAGAGATGAGAAGCACACTAGGCCATGGAAGTCTTGAGAGGCCCCAGGAGGTAAAGACAGGGGGAGCTTCAAAGCTACCCCCAGGCCCTTGGAAGGAGGCCCTGGGTGTATGATAAGGGCTGGGGGCTGGAGGAAGAGAGAGAACGGTGACAGGAACAGAACTCTCTAGGGGCAGAGCACCTTGTATAGTACTTTGAATATAAAAGTGAAATCTAGTAGTCACACATCAAAAGAATGCATACTTCAGATTCCCATTGAGTTAATCCGGCTTGCTTCCCACCTCCCCACATTTTAAGATTTCAGTGCTGTGTAAGTATTTAAGACCTATTTGATGCCTGAAGCTTCCGGTCACAGCAATGCTTACAGTAGTAACTAGTGCTGCATTCTTTGCATCTGTTGATTGAGGTCTGCATCTCTGACAACATGAAATTGACCTCCAAATGTGCTGCTCGAACCCAGTAGTTCCCAAGTAGGGATCACAGGTCAGGTGATGTGTGGTGGAATGTAAACATGTACTTGGTAGGACATAGACAATTTCTGTGTTCTGTTATTGATTTTTCTCACTCTGGAACAGGAAGTCTCTGACTCCATGAAGACCCCAGCCTTGATTCTGTCATTGTGGATGACAAGTGCTGACTCCCACAGCATTGCCTTCTCGCTGGCCTTTCAGTATGGGGAGGTAAGTGATGGACTTCATCACTGGCCCTCTAAAACCTGAGATTTTAGTATTGATGAAATGAGTCTTAAGGGGGGAGCAGAATCTAAATCCCAAGAGAGAAATGTTTGAAGTTGTGTGATACTAACTAGTCTAACACCCTTAGTCTTTAGGGCCCAGTGGGGCACCTGTCACAGCAGCAGAGTGACTGTATACATTTACAGGGGTTAACGTAAATTGCAGTCTCGCCCTGCACATTGGTATCTACAGGGGATTATATTAGCCCAGTACAACTGTCTGGAGCCTCTCAGGTGTAGAGGAGAGGGACACACACCATGGAGAGACCCCGGAACCTCCATGGACAAGAGAAACTGCAAGGGGATGTTTCCCATGGGGTTGGCAGCCTGTCTCCTTCAAGGAGGGGTGTTAGTCTGTGAAGCATTCTTCAAAGCAGAGGATAGAAACTGAAGTAATAATATACCCAAAAGGTAGTGCCCACTAGTGGCTCTAGAATGTGTCTCATTCTTGACATAAATTGAGAAGAAAGGCTTCCTATTTATTTGTAAAAAATATCTCAGGGGATTCTGTAAAAACACAGGAAGTTTCAGAATTGCTTTACTGACTTTGTTATTTGGATATTGTTAAAAGATACTATCTTCTCCCATTATCGGTCATCTGGGAGAACTGTGCCTGAGAATTGTATTAGGAAAATCTCACTTATAAACTGCTTACATATTAATGTATGCTTTATCCACACGACTGCTGGCATTTATGGGCCTAGCGTACAACGCATATTTCTATATCCTCAATTTCCCTTTGGTTTTATCATTCTTAAACTGGATTTCATTATAGATGTATATGTCTATCTGACTAAATTTATGAAACACAGTTTCTTTTTGGAACAATGCAGAGTACTTGTATACTACCTCAAGAAGGGGGATGGGGCAGGAATATGCTTACACCCACCAGGGCCTAAATTCCCATTATACCAATGTGTCTATAGCAAACTAGCAGCCTGGAATATGCTAGAATTCAGGCCCCACCAGGCAGGGATCTCACACTGAACATCATCCCAGAGTCAGGTGGGTGAGGACAGGTTTCTTAGGAGCACATTACTTGAAAATCTGTTTGTTTGGAATTTCAGGATTGGCATTTCCTGTCTTCTTCCTGCTTCTTGGCATTTCAGTATCTCCCCAGCTGGCTGTCCTCGCGTTCTGAACACCAATTTGCGCCAAATCATTGTCATTAGCATCCTGGCTGCTGCTGTCTCACTTTTATACTTTTCTGTTGTCATAATTCGAAACAAGTATGGGCGGCTATCCCGGGACAGGAAGTTTCAAAGGTAAGAAAAAGAGTTTTGTTCTGGAAGCTACATCCCCCCTTCTGGCTGATATTGTACAAGCTGCTGTAACAGGACACTAGGTAGATGATAAACGGCAGGAGTTTATTTCTCATAGTTCTAGAGGCTGAGCAGTCTTAAGAGCAAGGTGCTAACAGAGTGTGTCTCCTGAGGACTGTGTCCTGGTTCACGCTCGGCCCTCAGAGTGGGAAGGGGTTGGGGAACTCTGAGGTCTCCTTCCTCGTGATCTGATCACCTCAGAGAGGACAGTGTTGTGTTGGTGGTTAGATTCTCAACAAAGGAATGCCAGAGGGACAGGAACCAGCTGTGGCACCTGTCATTTTATGACTAGATTGGAATTGAAGGGCATGTGGCTTTAGGAACTATATTCTGTGCTGACTGCCATGTTAATTAATTAGACTGTGGAAGTGGCTGACAGATGGACACATGTTCCATGTCATAGGAGGCCTGGGATAATCACAGAATCAGGAGCGCCTCCTGTCTGATGTTAAGCCAGCTTCTGAGTTAGCGTTTGTACTTTGGACATGGTTTGTTCTTTGGAACCTGTGTGAGTATGTCAAGGAGAGGTGATCGAGTCCCTGAATTAGATGCTCCTTGTAGGCACCATTTGTTCTGACTTCCTTTGACTCATCATCTGCACATAGAGGGAACTCCAGAAAGCACTGTAGGGTCTGGAGATCACTGACGTGGCATTTCTGTATTGCACCCTCTCTGTTAGTTGATATTCTAACAACACGCATGTGTTTCTGATCAAGGTACCTGGCCAGGGTCACGGACGTTGAGGCTACAGATACGAACAATCCCAACGTGAACTATGGCATTGTGGTGGACTGTGGCAGCAGTGGCTCCCGGGTATTTGTCTACTGCTGGCCTCGACACAACGGCAATCCTCATGACTTGCTGGATATCAGACAGATGAGGGACAAAAACCGAAAGCCGGTGGTGATGAAGATTAAACCTGGTATGCGATGAGAGGCTGAGGACGGGGCGCAGGTTCTGGGCTCTGTGCTGGCGTTTATTTCCTTCCCTCTCTCTCCATACTGCCTCTCTGTCCTCCAAGCTCATACCAGGGCCTTCCACTTTTCTGTTCCTGTTCTGCTCATTTTGTATATGTGACCAGCATCTTGGTCAAGCATGCACAGCCTATGGTTTTTTGTCCTGTATGGCAGTCATCATGACCACCTCATTCACATGTTTGCTAGTTGGCGTTGGTGTGGAGGGTTGTTTTTCTTCTACTTGGTAGCTTTTCCTTAAGGAGAAGAGTTTTCAGATAACTCATGAAAATCTGTATTTAAAATACTGATATATTATTTGTTTAAATATTGGTGTATATTTGTGGGTTGTTTTTTTTTAATTGCTACCCAGGTCTCTACCTTATTTTCTTCCTTTCCTTCCCTATCCTTCCTCCCTCTTCTCCTTCTCCGTCTCCCTCCTCCATCTCTCATCCTCTCTGTCTTCCTCTATCATCATCTATATTTTTCTCCTTTCTTTCTCTTGTGCGACTGGTACTGAATCTAGGCATTTGTATGTACTTGGCCAGTACTCTAACACCAAGCTATAATCCCTAGCACTCTTTACTTTTATTTTTAGATGGCATTTCACTAAGATATACAGGCAAGTAACTTATAATCCTCCTACCTCAGGCCACTAGGCCCCACTTGCCTAGATATAATTTTGATGTTCTAGGTTATTTATAAAGCCAAACTTAGGACTTAAAAAGAACTAATATGATTACATCCAGGTTTTAAAGATACGATCATTTCCAGGCTAGTGTAAAATGTGAAAATTGAGTGTTGGCTTCCTCGTTATGTAATTTAAACAACAGTCCCGACCTCTGCCGTTTCCATGGGCTGTCCCCTGTCAGGAGCACTAGCAATGGAAGCTATCAGCATCATTTTAATTTTTAAATTTTCATTATTTTTAATTATGTGTATGTGTGTGTGAAGGTTTGTGCATATAAGTGCAAGTACCTGAAAAGGCCAGAAGAAGGGATCTGATCCGGAGCTGGAATTATAGGAGGTTATGCACCGTCTTCCATAGGTGTTGGGACCTGAACTCAGGTCCTTCGTAAGAACCCTATATGCTCTTAACCAGTAAGTCATCTCTCCATGTCTCAGGAGCATTTGAAATTTAGCTTTCCATATCCCCAGTAGTTATAAGCTCTGCTTTAAAGCAGTGGGCTACAGATCTTAACAGAAATACAGAGTTTTTATTTTACCAGTGTGTTAAATGGCAAAATATTAAATCCAAACTCTCAATTTTTTTAATGTTAGAGTCAAAGAAAATGATAAATGTTCAAGGAGCTAGAAATGCCAGCTGCTGCTTTTGATTCTGTCACATTGTACACACGTATCTACACTACCCTATACCCCATAAATGCAGATAATTACTACATGTAACAAATTTTTAAATAGAATATTGAAAATAATCAGTGTAGCTTAGTATCCTCCATCTGAGAAATAGAAATATCAGTCGATTTCCATGAACAAAGACTAATCCTATCCTTTAAAATTGTATATATGCCTAATCTAGAAACATCTTCAGGATTAAAGTAATACTGACCTTAGAAAAGACTTCACCAGGAGATTCAGAGCATTTTGCCTTTCACCAAGCTTTGCATGTCCGGTTCCAGCAGTGACTGAACTCTTCTCCTAGAATGAGGTGAAGACTCTTGTCTTCTGGAAACAGAGGCGCCACACCATCAAGTGTGCACACTAGAATCCTGGTCAAAGTAGGCTCGGCATGGCTCTCCCTCCCTGAGGCGGAAACCAGCATGCCTTCCCATGGCTCTGCTCCATCTGCAGTGGCCTCCCAGGTTTAGATAAGGGTTCTGGGAGTCTTTGCAGTAGACCCTGATTACTGTAGGATTTTGTGTCCCTTGAAGTAGCACTGCATGTGGTGTTCAAAGACTTACCTTTTAGTCAATTTCATACTGATTGCTTTCACACATGGCTTCATCCTTCTGGTCCACAGCTTCCTAATGTCTGGAGTAAGGAGTAATGGGCTTCTCAGGTCCCACTTGCCTTGTTAGTGTAGGCTCAGTGACAGCTGGAAGTTCTTACTCGCTTACTGTTTAACTAATGTTCCCTCAGACCTGCACTTGCCAGGCACTTTGTTAGGTGCTGGAAATATGAACCTAACAAGACACAGTGAGTGTACTTGACCAGTTGTAATGAGACAGTTGAGTGGGTAGCCAGTAGAGGGTGAGCGTAGACTGTAAGGAGAGCTCAGCTCCATTGGGGTTTGGCTAGGGAATGCTTCTATGGAGGACGGAGCTGGATGCGCATGTAGGGTGAAGGAGGGAGGGGACGAGAAGGTGGAGATTCTGAGGCCTGAAGCGTACACTGCAGAAATGGTAGTTCAGGGCTGTGAGATGAAAGAACTCAGAAGGTAAGAGTGGGTCAGTGTGTGTGACTGCTTCTCTAGCACTGAGCTTTGGGTCGGATAGAGGAGCCACAGAAGGGTTTGAAGCTGAGAAGTATCATGGCGTAGGGGATGGTGAGGATGGCAGAGATTGGAGGATAGGGTGTGTTCTACCCACCAGCAGAGGGTGGTGGTGTCCAAAGAGACTTAGTCTGTGAAAAGCAGAAGGCACAGGGGAGAGGGAGTTTGCCCCAGATACAGGCATGGGATCTGAGTTGGATAACAAGCAGCAGACACCTTGCAAGTTGCATTCACACCTGGATGTGTTGTGTTCACGGGGTCTGCAAGGACCAGCAGCGGCCATGGGTAGAAGACAGTCACCATGTGCTAATCTGCTGGCTGGGAAGAAATACTGGGGCCTAGTGCTAAGATCTGGAGACCTGTGGTAGACGTTGGACTTACGTGGAAGGGAGCATTTCAAGGGCACCCTTGAGCTCTTGTGGGGGGCCCACACAGTAGGTACTCAGGTCAGGTCTGTGTCCTCTGATGGCAGAGAAGAGAGCATGTGATAAACGGGAAACTAGGAGACTGTATAGATTGAATTTCTCACAGATTCAGCACACAGAAGATGCACTGTCAGCCCCACTGCACCCTGCTTACTGGATTTTCCCATTTCTCCAGGCATCTCAGAGTTTGCTACCTCTCCAGAAAAAGTCAGTGACTACATTTCTCCACTTCTGAGCTTTGCTGCAGAGCATGTACCACGGGCGAAACACAAAGAGACACCCCTCTACATTCTCTGCACAGCTGGAATGAGAGTCCTTCCGGAAAGGTGATCCTCCACAACAGGGAGGGTGGCCCTTGGGAGGGGTGGCTGTCCGCCTCCGCCTCCACCTCCACCTCCTCCCCCCACCTCCTCCATCAAAAGCATAGCATTGAAAATTCCTTCTTCAAGTCTGGACTAATCCCAGAACTATTCTCTTAGGTAAAACCCACCAAATAGCTTCTAATTTACTTATTTATGACTAAAGATAATAGTTACCTTTTTTAGTGGTGGTGGGGGACAGGGTCTTAGGTAACCCAGATTGACTTCAAACTCAATATGTAGCTGAGTTTGGTCTTGAATTTCTGATCCTTCTAACTCCACCTTCTGAGTGCTAGGATTCTGGGCATACACCACCATGCCAGGTTTGTGTAGTGTTGGGGGTGGAGCCTCAAGGGTTTTGTGCATGCTAGGCAAGCACTCTACCAACTGAGCCACACCCCCGGCTCATATAGGAATCTCATAATTCACATTATTTGTTCATTTTGAAAGAACATTCCTGACATAAGTAATCTTTTCTTTTTTAAATGTTTTTATTATTTTAATTTTATGTGTCTGAGTGTTTTGCCTGCAGATATGTAAGTGCACCATATGCATGCAATGCCTGAGAAAACCAGAAGGCAGATCCCCTGGAACTGGAATGAAGAATGGTTGTTAGCCACCATGTAGGTGCTGGGAACGAACCCAGGTCCTCTGCAAGAGCAGCCAGTACTCGTAACTGCTGAGCCATCCCTCCAGCCCCATAAACAATCTTTTCAATATATCACTTTGGTTTTAAAATTCACTATTTTAAAATGTAAGATATACCAAAAGCCATGGGGCTTTCTGTTTTGTCATTTTTCTTTTCTAAACCCCGAAACTGAGAATGTAATTCTGACATGTAAATTTTGGGGTTGCCTTATAGCCAGCAGAAGGCCATTCTGGAAGACCTCCTGACCGACATCCCCCTGCACTTTGACTTCCTGTTTTCTGACTCCCACGCCGAAGTCATTTCAGGGAAACAAGAAGGTTGGTATCTTGACCTTCAATTTAGAATGTTAGAAGCATAGGGCTGGAGAGATGGCTCAGCGGTTAAGAGCACTGGCTACTCTTGCAGAGGACCTGGATTCAGTTTCCAGCACCATCTATAACTCCAGTTCCAGGGGAATATGATGCCCTATTCTGTCTTCTGCAGGCATTGCATGACACGGGTGCACTTACATAGATGCAGGAAATACACTCATATACACAAAATTTTTAAAAAAATATATTTTAGAAAGTTAGAAGGTATTCCTGCTGGGCGTGGTGGCTCATGCCTTTAATCCCAGCACTCAGGAGGCAGAGGCAGGGGGGTCTCTGTGGGTTCAAGGGCAACCTGGGCTACATAGTGAGGTCCAGGGCAGCTGGGGCGACAGAGAGAAACCGTCTCAAAAAAGACCAAAAGAAAAAAAAAAAAAAAAAAAAAGAAGAAGGTATTCCTTTACATGTTCGCCATTCATTCTCCCCAGTGTGTATTTTATCAAATCATTTGCTATCTTAACATTTTGAAAGTCATAGCCCTGAAATACTATTTTCAGTGACTAAATTAGTTTCTTATATGCCCAGTCTTTATTATCCAGACCTTAAATCCATTTTAAAAAATTAGCTCAGTTTGTCTGTACTATGTTTTGGAAGCATATTTGAACAGATGTGATGGTGGGGGTTTGTGTTCCTTGCCCCGTTGATAAGGCTCTCTGGTCACGTTCCTTGTTGAGCTATTGTTGAAGAACCTCTTGCTTCACTTACTGCCTTTGATGAACTGAGAAAATATTAGTTCTGTTTTCAAAGAAGGGATTCCACTTGAGTAAGAAGTGACAAGTCAATGAAATTGTTTCCTGGAAACGGAGACCCAAACGTCTAGTATCTGTTTCTACATCACTTACCATCTCAGCAAGTGTCCTGTAGGAACGCACTGTGAGGAATATAGAATTGGATGTGTTGCCAGTGAACTCCTTAGACACAGTTGAGCTGCACAGAATTGGCAAGAGGTCACTTTAGGCACCAAAAGGAGATAAAAGGGAATGTTCCTCAAGTTTGAAAGAAAGAGGCATTCCCCAGCTAGGATCATCATGGAGACATAGACATTTGAACTCTACTTCAAGGAATGACTCCTAAGTGGAACCTTCTAGAAGAGAATAAGGGGGTTATCTACACAGGGAGAGAGAACATAGTCCAAGAAGAAATTATCAGTCACTGTAGGTTGGAAGGGATGCCACTGGACAGACACAAGGGTTTTCCTTGGGTGGATCATGGCCTCTGGAAGGATGGTGGTGATAGCAAAAGTTGTACAGGGGTTGAATTGTCCGCTCATGAGTTTGGACTTTGCTCTCCAGCCCAATGGGAGAGGTAGAGGGGCTGCCAAAGAAGATTGAGTGGATTGTCACTTCCTCCCCGTAATGATACAGTCAAGGTGGCAGTGAGAAAGAGATAAAAATTAGGGCTGGGGAACATTGCAGATACCAGCTTAGTCAGACTTGACAGCTGTGTGAATGTTGGGGTAAAGTTAAGATGGAATAGTGTGGTTTCAAAGCCTGGCCACGGACAGGGTTAACTACAGACAAAAGCAAAGCTTCATAAAATATAAAACCTTCAGTATTTGAAACAACTCATAAATTTTAAAGGAAAACTAGTCCCTGAGGAATTTATATTTTCAACATATATAAGTGATATAGCAGGTATAAATATTAAAATTGCGAGTTATTAATTAACCGCTAGGAAAAGATCAGAACATCAGTACAAATGTGTCATTTGGGTGATACTGTCACAGGTTGTCAAGGATTAAAGTGAAGGAGGTACTTGCATAGACACACTGATAAGAGACTTAAAATTTATTTTTCTTGATTTTTCTCTGAAATGTCTAGGTGTGTATGCTTGGATCGGCATTAATTTTGTCCTTGGACGGTTTGAGCATATCGAAGAGGGTAAGTGCCATGTTTCCACCAATGTGCCTAACTAGAAATTATAACCATGATTTATGTTCAGTACAAAGGCAGAAAAGCAGCTAAGATTCAAAAAGAGTTTTTTTAAATATTTATCAGCATTTTGCCTGCATATATGTCAGGTGCACCTGTGTCATGCAATACCTGCAGTAGCCAGAGGAGGGAGTCAGAGTCCTTGGAACTGGAATCACAGATGGTTGTTAGCTGCCATGTGGGTGCTGGGAACAGAACTGTCTTTTGCAAGAGCACGTGATGCTCTTAACACTGAGCCATCTCTCCAGCCTTAGGAGCTGAGTTTTATGACACAGCTGAGTGTAGTGGAGTAGGGTGAGCAGAGCTGCTGGCTAAATACTGCTGAACTTGACTCATTGAGGAGAGTGGACCCGGTGTGCTCCAAAGGAGGTCTCCTTCCAAGGCCAGTGGTGGGCTTGCTCAATGGACCCTTCTTTCTCCAGATGACGAGGCGGTTGTAGAAGTCAACATTCCTGGTAGCGAGAGCAGTGAGGGCATCATCCGGAAAAGGACAGCAGGGATTCTTGACATGGGAGGCGTGTCCACTCAGATAGCGTACGAAGTCCCCAAAACTGTAAGCTTTGCCTCCTCACAGCAGGTCATTATCTGTACAAATTGCCTTCTTTTTGGTTTGGTTTGCATTTAACATGTCTCCATCCATTTCTGTTTTGTTTCCTGCATCTGAACACGTCTTTACTGTGCTTGCTGAGGTCCCACCTTCTCAACCCAGGAGGAAGGAGGCGGGAGGAGGAGGCCAGCCTCAGCCAAGCCAGTTACCATTGTGCATTGAGCCCAGCTGGTTTGTTTTCTGAACTTAAGAGTTTTTCTTTGGTGTATGTCTATCATGTGCTTGAGTTTTTGTTTATATTTTCTCTTCAGTCACTTCTCAGTAGGTTAAAAATATTATAATATCAGATTTTAAAGTTATAATAGAATCACTTTGCATTTTTAATGGCTTTGAACTTTTCTGGAAAGGATTGAGGTTGGTATCCAGTGCTCCACATCTCTGAACACACGGTTCACTCCATCTTTTCTCTAGCCTGTCAGGTGCTTGGTCCTTGGCAGGCTGGGTCTTGCACAGAAAACACCAGAACCATTTCCACATGTGTCCCTGAATTCCCATATGCCTCTTACCACTGTTTCCATCCACATATGAATTAACACCAAAGCATCCTCTCCTACTGTGCCCTGGAGAATAGGGACCCTGTCCGGGTGGTGATTCAGTCAGGCAGTGTCCTGGAGGAGCCTAGCTGGCAGCATCACCTTGATCTCCTAGTTATGTGGCCTCATGCAAGTCCTGTAGCTTAGCTGGTTTCCTCACCTGCACATGTGAATGAAAGCTTCTTCATGCAGCATGGTCCCTGAATGGTTTCGGTGAGCAGATGCATGTCTTGAGGTACTGCCAGGCCCCTGTTGCGTCTTCAGTGGATGGCACTGCTGTTCTTTTTAAGCACTTTGGTTTTTTTCAAGTATTTTCACCTGTTTCCTATTTCCCATTCCAATATTCCTCTAAAAACTACTAACCATGCAAAGAAAGTTTTGGAAATACAGTGAAAACAAAAGAGTAAAAATTCCCAGTAGGATCATCATCATCATCATCATCATCATCAAAAAGCATCCTTCGCATCTTGATTAATTTCTTTTTTCACCCTGTGTATCGGTTCAAAGAATGTTGTTACACTTACACTTTTGTATGATTGTGTCCTTTTTATTTTTTGTTGTAATTTTGAGACAGGGCCCAACTATGTCACCTCAGCTGGCCTAGAACTCAATGTGTAGACCAGGGTGGTCTTAATCTCACAGAGATCCACCTGCCTCTGCCTCTGCTTCTGCCTCCCAAGTTCTGGGATTAAAGGTGTGCACCACTACTCAGCATTTTGTATCCTTTTTAAAAGCAATGCATAAATTTGTTCTCTATAAACTGCCAGTTGTCATAATTAAGGTAGTCTTCCCTTGATGTTGCATACTCAGAAGCCGCTTAGTCTTTTCTATCACAGAGTTGTAAAGGCACCTTTGTGCTTGGAGACTTTCCTGTGTTTGGGTCTATTTCCATAGCAACAGGATCCATAAATAGATGCAGTAGGCTAGAGGGAAGGAACTAACCTCCTTTTCAGAAGTCATACCACCACCCATGTGCAGTGTACCTGAGATTCCTAAATCAAGTGCCATGCTAAATTGTGAAGGAGGGTTAAAGGAGCCTTGGGAGGGGAAGAAGCAGGAGCTGTGCCTCTCAGATGTAACTGGTTTAGACTCTTCTTTTAAGAGGAGCTAAAGTTGCTTTAAAATACTGAAATATGTCATCCTTATGCCTACAGGAGGAAGTAGCTAAAAACTTGTTAGCTGAGTTTAACTTGGGCTGTGATGTCCACCAAACTGAGCATGTGTACCGAGTCTATGTGGCCACGTTTCTTGGGTTCGGTGGCAATGCTGCTCGACAGAGATATGAAGACAGACTATTTGCCAACACGGCTCAGAAAAACAGGTACAATACCTGCCATTCCTTGCAGGCTCCTGTAGACCTAGCTCTCTCCTCATCCAAACCAGATCCAGGCCAAGTCGCTTCTTATTAAGTGCTTTGCTGGGAGGAGGAATGAGAGTCACGTCATTGTCGTGCGACCCCCTCATTCGTCTGCTCACTCTCTCCTCACCTGATGGGATGACAACTTTCTATTCCCTCAGGAAGTCTCAAGTTGAGTGTGTTCTGGAGACACTGGACACCAGTAGAAGAGAACCATAGTGAAGGGGTTACTTCACAGCAAGGAATGAAATGACATAATTTTAGTAGTCTTAAAACATTTAGCCAAGCGTGGTGGCACACACCTTTAATCCCAGCACTCGGGAGGCAGAGGCAGGCGGATCTCTGTGAGTTCAAGGCCAGCCTGGTCTACATAGTGAGTTCCAGGACAGCTGGGGCTACAGGGAGACCCTGTCTCAAAAAAAGGCCGGGGGAA